ACTTCCTCTTGCGGTTCTCAATCTGCTGTTGCTTCCCTTCAATTATGAGAGCTCTATCTACCAACTCCTGGTAGTTGTTGAAACCTACTACCATCAACTGCATACTCAGCTCGTCATTTAGTCCTTCCAGAAACTTCTCTTGCTTAGTTGCATCCGTAGCAACGTCATCTGGGGCATAACGTGCTAGCTTACTGAAGTCATCCACATACTGGCCAACTGTACGTCCTCCCTGGCGTAAGTTGCGAAACTCGCGCTTCTTCATGGCCATAGCTCCTGCTGAAACATGGGCAGTATGGAAAGCCTGCTGAAACTGATCCCATGTGACAGTGTCTACTGGATAAGTGGCTGTGAAATTCTCCCACCATGATGTTGCGGGTCCATCAAGCTGGTGTGCGGCAAATCGCACCTTCTCCGCATCTATGCATCCTGCAGTGGTCAACTCCCTGGCTGTCTTGGGAAGCCAATCATCTGCAACATTCGGCTCGGTGCTACTGGAAAACACCGGCGGATTTAGCCTAAGGAAATGGGTTAAGTGATCAACAGGTGGTGGCGGTGGTGGATTGTTGTTGTTGTTGTTGTTGTTGTTGTTCCCCTGATTCTGATTCTGGACTAGTATCTGCATCAATGCATTCTGCTGTTGGATCAACTGGGTGAGCTCCGGTGGAAATCCATTATCACGCCTCGGAGGCATCTGAGGGTTTAGAAAGGATGAGAATATAGAATAGAATGAGGTCTAGAGGGAAAACACTACCCATATGCACATGAGACAAATTTCAATCAAAACACTTCATTCAACAAGCAAGGGCATAGAATGGTCTATCTATCGTTACAAAAGTGCTTGGACTAGATACATGGGGGAAATACTACTACTGTTATGGCGGTCGACTAGAAAAATTGCTCCGATGAAGACTCCATGATATCTGCTCTAGCTTCATCAACATAATCATCATCACTATCATCTGGATCCGAGTCGGTGTCGTCAATGATGATGTAGTTCTCTGGACAAGTGAAATCTTCATCTTCTCCTTCTGTCGCGGGGAATCCCATAAATACTTTCAACTTCTTCTTCAGATCATCGTTCTTCTGCACTAGTGTTGCTATTTCTTCCTCATATCCATCACGTGTAGACTTGAGTTCTTCCTCCAGTTCCGTGATTTTGATCATGGCCTTCTTCAGATCCTTCATGCCTGCGCACATCTGGTTCTCCTGGCGTCGAATGTGCTAGTTTAACTCCTGGATGAAAGCTGCAATTGATCGGTCCTTCCGGTTGCTGATCATCTCCCATTGCTCATCTCGGCGCCCACAAATCTGGTAGATAGTATCCTTAAGCTCCTTGTGGTAAACTTCTCCAATACGTCCCATGGTAATGTGGGCTGCCATGCTCTTTCCTAGACTCCAGGTTGGTGCATCAAAGGAAAACTCTATGGGCTCAGTGACGGGCATGAATGTCCTTCCTGGAACTTGAACTTGAATCATCCAGCGCTCCTTTTTAGGTAAAGTGGCGTTGTAGGTCCCGGTGAAGCTTGGTACTCCGATCTTCAGGTACTTGGTGACTTCCTTCAGGTGTCGTCCAAAGGGTGTATCTTCATCCGGGTGCATGAACTTGTTCCTTGCATCCGCCATCCTAAGAGAGTAGAAAAGATGAGGAGTTAGAAAAGAGAAGAGAGAGTAGTGATCTAGGGCTTTGGCTTAGTGGTCGTGTCCTACAGTCAGCGTGTGCTCTAATACCATCTTGTAGCGACCAGACCTCAAACGGTCCGATCTCTGTGCATCAGTGTCATCCCTGGATCAGTAATGCTGACACGCACAGTACTTGAAGGATTTATAACAGAGTAGCAATCACACACTTACTACATCGAATGTCTCTAGAGAGAGCTTATTACAATAAATATGGCTTAAGGCCATCTAATAACGATAACAGCGAAAGGCTTGGAAGATAAGTGAGTCCATCAACTCCCACGGCATCACTGAGTATAGGACCACGATCCTAAGGCAATCTTACTCATCGTTTGAAAAGTCTACAACTTGAACGTTGCAGCTCGAAAACGGGTCAGCACATGGAATATGCTGGCAAAGAAACACATAGAGAGTAATGAAAAATAAAACTATTCTACATGCATATATGGCTGGTGGAAAGCTCCATGGTTACAGTTTTTTTGCATAAAGCCAATTTTTCCCTACTTCAAAGGAATAATTTTTTTTAACTATCATGGTGGTTGTTAAACATTGAGAATGGTTGACAGCATTCTCAATCCCAATTAAGCATCATCATTAAAACCCAACAATATTAATTATAAGTAACATGATGAGATTCACATGATAATCCAAGTACTAGATACTCAAAACGTCCATAACCGGGGACACGGCTAATCATGATTAGTTTGTACACTCTGCAGAGGTTGCGCACTTTTCTCCACAAGACTCGATCTCCTCCGTTTGTTTTCTCGCACTGCATGGCGTTTGAGAAACGGATGACCGAGACATAGTCTTTCAGAAGCGCTAGCACCTTACGATTGGGTAGACCATACCACCTACATCCCCTACATCTGCTAGTCTACCACTGTAAGAGTTCTCATGACTTACTCAGCTATGCTAGAGCCCATAATAGCATGTGGCTGCACACGGAAGTTTCTAGCATGAATAATCTTATGATCCCTTTGAGCCTGGGTGGCGGTCGGAAAAGAAACAGGCAATCCTGGTCTACCCAGGTGCCTAGACAGGCAATCCTGGAATAACCAGGTACCTCAATCCACCCAGATGTGTATTAAAGTTGCCACCTTAAATAAACCATTAATTAACAATCTCACATCTGTCATGGAAATTCACTCACCCAATCCACGTCTACTAGCATAGCATGGCATAATAAGCAACGTAGAAGTAACTCCCAGGGGTTTGGTAACAAAACAGGTAATAGGTACTACCTCATCTACTTCCCAGAACCCACATATTAATAAGATCCTAATCATGCAGTTGTTTGAGGATTGATCTAATGCATAAAAACTGGGTAGTAAGGAGGTATGATCAAAGTGTTACTTGCCTTGCTGATGATCCGTGAAACCTAAGGATTCGAAGTAGCAAGCGGCGCAATCCGGGTACTCTATCGCATGCAAACATACAAACAAGCATACAATAAGTACTCATATAATGCACAGGTAAAACTCAAATAAAAGATCCAACCAGAAAGTTCAACTTAAGAACTCCAGTTTGCAAAAAGAATCAAATCAAACGAAGAAGCAAAACTCAAACTGCGAAAGAAACAAGCTTCGTTTACTAATTTGGACCTAAGTCAAATTTTACAGAAGCAAAAACTGGTTTGAGTAGATTAAACAGAAAGAGGGTTTCGAGACGAAACTCTAGGCGTTTGAATCGCCTGATTCCGATAAACGAGCGAAAAGTTAAACTAAAACGAAAATCGGATCACAAATCGCGATTAGAAAAATCGCGGAATAAATCCGAGAAAAAAGAAAAATGACTAACAGATTAACAAACGAACGTTCGTTATCTGGATCTAAACGATGAAGGCGTTCGTTAAAACGAACGAACGAGCGAACGCTCGCTAAATAAATAAATCGAAAAAAACGATCTAAAATAATCTAGGGGTTTTCTTAAAAAAAACAGAGTGGTTTTTCAAAAAAAAACGGCATCGGCGGCGGCTCGGGCGGTACCTCCGGCGAGGCTGGTGAGGGGCGGCGGGGCTTCGGCGGCGGGGCGGCTCCGGCG